TGTGTCCGTGCACACGAGTTGCTAGTTTTCTACCTGTTTGACCGATATAGTACTTGTTGCAGTCCTTACAGTTGATGCGGTAGATCACATTTGTTCGATTTTTGTCTTCCTGTTGCTTCTTGGTTTTCGATAAGATTCTCCTCAGGGTTGTCGTTGGTTTGTGGGCGACTTGAATGTTGTGTGGTTTCAGTATTCTCGTGGTCATTTCCGAAATGTTCTTCACATACGGTAGGGTTATTCACTTATTCGGTTGTCCTTTCGTCCTTTTGTTGTGTTCGAGTTATTGTGCGTTTGACGAAGTTGCGGGTGTAGCCGTTGCGGAGGAATATTTGATAGAGGTATTTCTCCTCTTTCTGCCTCAACTTTTCAGTGCTGCAATGTGTTTATGCTCTTTCGAAGAGTGTTCGAATGCAACTCCCCTTGTGGCAGGTTGGCTGGTTGCTCATGTATCCCAGAATTTGATCCGTGTGGGTCTTCTTTCTGCATACTGATGTTTCTAGCGGTCCGGACAATGATCTTGTAACTAGGACGTCGAGGAATGCCAATTTGTCATTTTGTTCTGTTTCCATGGTGAACTTGATATCCGGGAAGATGTTGTTGATGCTGTTGAAGGTTCTGTCCACTTCCGATCGCTTCAGGATCACGAATGTGTCATCTACATATCTAAGTCAGAGCTTGGGCTGTAGTTGTGGTAGAATGGTCCTCTCGAGTTTTTGCATTACGGCTTCAGCAATGAATCCGGAAATTGGTGAACCCATGGGTGTTCCTTTCACCTGTTCGTAGATTTCACCGTCGAATTCTAAGTATGTTTTCGGGTATAGGTCAATCAGCTCGCTGATATATTTGTTATCCGGTGTTTGGTGTATATCTGTCGTTCTTCTAGAAGCTCCGTCAGTGTTTCTCTGGCCAAATCGAGGTTGATGGAGGTGAATAGCGCGGTGACGTCGACGGATATCATTATTTCATCTGCATCAATATTTACACCCTTCAATTTTTTCAGGAAATGTTTGGCGTTATTGATGGAGTTTTCGTAGCCGGCGATGAGAGGTTTGAGTCTTCTCTTTCCTCGAAGGGGAGTGGGAGGAGTAATACTTCTTGTCCAGTGTACTCCCTAATTTTGGCTGCGTATTTAGTCCCGTTGTCAATCGATCGGGTTCGTTGATAGAATAGATTAGTTACATCATCACCTATGGATTTTAAACAAATCGTGACCGCCAGGGGGCACCAGTTGAGATGCAGCGAAATTGTCCGACACATAAATCATTCATTGTTGCTGTAATGACTTCTCTCTTCGAAATTTTGAGTTAAACAAAACATTGTTTCTTGCAGAACCTGATTTTGTTCACTTTATCATCTTTTTCATGAGTTCATGTCATGCGATAATGACGCGAAGCGAATTGCATGCGCTTGCGCTGTGTCCCTGGGTGGTGGGTTGGGGATAATGATTAATTTCGCTTTCTTTTTTCCACTGTACTTTTATTGAGTCCAGAGCGAAATGGGGACCCGTTATTTTCATTATTATGGAATGTTGATGAACATGAAATAGTGGCAGAAAGTGATTCGTTTTAAGCAGTTGGACAGTGAATTCGAAGTGTTATTTCACAATTTGGCTCCCTTTTTCTCGTTATCGAATTCGGGATTTGGAAGATATGTTACGAAGAAAATTTGAAGGTTATCTCTAAAGCGTATTTTCTGCATTTATTATGGCTGTGAGGACTGGTTTTCGCTCTCCCTCTACAGTTCTAGTACAATCGTGAGAATGTTTTTTGTTTTGTTTTACTAACTATGTTTACCTACTACTTACTGTTTGTTTACAGACATGTAGTTCAATCATTGGAATCGATTTTCACTGTGCACAACGGCCTCTCGCTCAAAGCTCCGCTTCTGGTCCCGGTCGGTGTTCGAGATGATATAACCGCCAGCACAAGCCGATTAGCCCATCAAATCCGGTCTACGCTTCGTCGTCAACCGAAAGAATCGACCAAATCTGTCCACCCACGTCCCATTGATCAAGTGCTAATGGAGGAACGTGAAAATGCTGTGGCTCATGGTCCGGTCATGTTGGAGATGAGACACGGCACACCAGTTTATCTGCCGGAATCGTTAAATTTGGCGTTTGCGCGTTATCTGGCCCGTGCGGGCTCATCATTGATTCAAGAAGTTGAGTTTGGGTTAAAACGTTATCAATTCGATCGTGTATACGGTGAAGGGGATTCTGGGAACGCGCCGGGTAACACTCGCCTCGGTTCGGCCGATCTATCAGTGNCTATCAGTGGAGGAGGAACAGGCAACCTTTGATATTGTTACTCCAACTTCCAGGTAATGGTAATCTTGTATTAGATGTGGAGTTAGCCAATACATCGTAGTTTGCATTTAACTCACAGTTGTGGATTTGTCCGACTAGATTTATTGCCACGCCTATCGGGGCCTTTTTATTACACACCTAAGTGTGATGAACAGCAGATGTGGAGAACCCCCATAGTCATGAGGACCTGCTGTTCAGTGGTGGTAACCGGCAACCTGATACCCGAGACTTGGAGTGGCGAACCACATAAGGCGTGGTATTGAACCGGACGATCTCAGAGCTGCCTACCACCAAAATCGGGTGGAGGTGTTGGGGCTTGAACCGCGGATAACGCACGCCGGTGACAGCAACCAAACCATTGCGCCACCGCCACCCTTATGTGGTTCTCCACTTCAAATCCCGGGGCTTAGGTTGCCGGTTTCCACCACGGAACTGTAGGTCCTCATGACTATGGGTTTTACCCTATGTGCTGTTAATCACACTTAGGTGTATAATTTAAAAAAACGATAAATAGGCTTTTTACAACCAAATCTCTCGGTACTGATCACAAAACGAGTTTACCGTTAACAGGTATGTAATTTTCTAAACTAATTGAACTTCAGCCTGCTTGAAAAGAATACATTTCGGAGGAAAGCTGTGTTCAAATAGATCGTTTTGATTTATGAGTAGTAAAATCTGTAATACCATTTTTCACAACCACTGTAAGGTGGTTTGAACTTCTACTTTCCAGTGACCCATTTTATCGAATAGTGAGGACGGGGAGGAGTAAATCAATGTGTTCCGAGCCTGAATTGCAATCCAGAATAGAATCAAATCTTTTTCTCAAATTCCTCCGTTTGTTCCAGTGTTTTGTTTTAATACTAACTGAGCGGTCACCATCTCCCCAATCGGGAAGCGTAGCGCTAACTCTGCGATCGACTCGTTTCGTGAAGGTTGTCCAACCCACAATGCTTGTTTGTTAATTCAAAATTGAAAAACAGTACTAACGTTTGTCCCATCAAAATTAAGGTCCTATGGTGTGATTCAGACGTTTGAGCACATCTTTGAGCGCTATTCCAAGATCCTGATAATTTGATGTGGGTACGGAAAGCACGTGGCACCTATGAAGTCCCACGGGAACGCTCTAAAATGATAGGAATAGACACTGTTTACCAGCGACACTCGATCGCACCTCTCACGGTCGGACACGCTCACACAGAGAGAACACGACTTGCGCACGAAGGTATATAGACGCACGGAACGAACAGCAAAATGCAGACACCATGAGCCAAAAGGTCCAGTGAGACATGAATACGACTCACACTCAAATGGAATGACAAATTGCGTTACAGTAACTTGGGAGTGCACTCCCAATCTTTTCTGTGCCTATGGAAACTGATCGGCCGTGTCCAATGGTCTGGATATCATTTAACCGGCAGGCGATGGTGACCACACGGAATTTATCTTTGCGCGTTTGCCGTTATTTGGATTGAATGACCAGCTGGATTCTAAGGTTGTATTTTATTGCCAACCCGCCAATTCACCGATTTTTAATAGGTTACCACGCACATATTTGTGCACTGGCATCAACTCGCAATTTATGCAGGCGAACTCAGTTTCAGCGTTTTCCTGTCTGTCGATATCATCGATGTTTGTTTTGTCATATTTCCTCTCGTCGAATCTACGGGTTTGTCGCAAGATTTTACGCTCCTGTTCCTACGGGGTGCTAATCCGGACGGGATTTCACTCTGATCATTGATGCTCTGCTCTCCGAAATCCCTGAACTGGTTGCCACCACCCTTTTTTCATTATTACACACTAGTGTGTGATGAACATCAGACGGAGTGGACCCCATAGTCACGATGACCTGCTGTGCAGTGAGGGTAACCGGAAACCTAAGCCCCGAGACTTGGAGTGGCGAACTGCATAAGGCCCCGCTATGTCAGGCGTGGTATAGAACCGGACTACAGCAAAACTGTCTACCACGAAAGTTTGATGGCTGAGCTCGAACGACGGACCACAGAGTGCAAATTACGCGGGTGACAGCTACTAAACCATTACGCCATCACCACCCTTGTCCAACTGAGATCTATACGTAGTCGGACTTTACATGTCTTGCCCTCTCTATTTCTGTTGTCTGATCATTTTACGCGGTATTGCTTATTGGTAAGATATCTCAACTGCCGTCAAATTTGATTCTCGTTTTGCAGCATTCACTCTGTGGTGGAGTTGCTGCAAATACTACGGGAGATACTGTTGGGATCACCAGAGTTTGAGGTAAGTGTGCTGGCTATTCAGATGAATTTTGCCTCGTACTTCGAAATTGTGTGTGTGTGTGTGTGTGTGTGTGTGTGTGTGTAATCCGTTCTGAAATCTCCCTGAAAGGGTCTAACTGTCGCACACAGAGATCGCCGATTTCCTGATACTGATCTAGATCTATGTGCTTTTCTTTGGTGCACGTGTCTACTTATGAGTAGCTGAAAATAAACAATGAAATAGTTGCGGATGTTCAAACGGTGTAACTCGCTCCTGTTAACCTCGTTTTCATTATCTTCTTTGAAGTGCCTGTTCTCCAGTTTACTTAGGTAGTTGTTTACTGCCACATGCAATGTGTAATACATTTTGTATTAACTTGGTCACCTACCATGTCTTATTTTCATTTTTCTTTTGATTGCTATAGATAATTCTTAATTGTCATTCTGTGAATATTTCATCTAGTGTATATTCTCCATGTTGCGTTACCAGCGTACCGATAATAGGTCGACAAGGCTGCATCTTGGGTACCTATCTGGCCGAAAGAGCTACACATACTGGCTTTTGTCAACCCAGGGAGGTAACCATGTCAGGAAGGTCAGAGGGTAAAGGTCAGATAAACTTCAATCCCCTGGTCTTTCATGTTGAGGGTTCGACTAGAGTTGGCATTTCAGTCGGTCAAAAGTACTGTAGCAATAATGGATCCATCCAAATGGGCTTCCAATTCACCTCATTCGCTGCCTAGCATTTGGATTCTTGTCAGAACTAAAGGCTTCGGTTGAGAATCCTAATCATTCTCGTGCTTAGTGACTGGATACCCTGGCCGTACTCGTCCATCAAACTCCAATGCATACAGAAAAACAAAGAATAGTTCCATAGTGCATGGGTTAATGAGGAAAGTGCTTCGGTGTGTCGTCATAAATGGGCTATACCTCAGACATCCCAATCTTTGCCTAACTCTTTGTTTTCAATACCCAGCCCTGTCCCGTTTGTCTCTTCTTTCGATCTGCAATAGGCCCTCATGCGATTCGGATGTCGCCCTTCAAAAAGTAAAAAAGCAGCAACCAAAACCGGCGCACGAAAATGCATGCCTAATGGTTTTAAAGGCCTAACTCGGAGGGAAGCAACACCAAAAAGTGTTGTTGTTTTTTTTCATCATATCGGCATATGTATTGACTAATCGCAGTTCGGACGTACAAAACGGCTATATCTACGACAAACTGACCGAATTCACGCAGTTAAGTACAAGCTCCGACATACTTGTACTTACAGGTGGTTTTATCGCGCAGGTTGGGAAACAACGCATCAGAATCTTGCCTAGGCGGTCATTGTGCTCTGCTCGTCCAACGAACAGTACCTGTTGCACGCATGTGAATGAGAGCTAGCTAGTGTGTGAGCTCCGCGCCCCTCAACGCGATGGTGTAGATGAGCAATGGGATCAGATTAACCGAGGGATGCATTCCTCAAGGAATGTTGCTTGTATATCGGAACCTCAAGTCGGTCCGGGGCATTAGAAATCTCCTGAATCATTCTCCTGTTACAGAAAATAAGTTCCATTTCGCCTGTTCACCTAGCTTGGCAATTTGTTTGCATAAGTCTTGATATGCCTGGATTAGGTGGCGTCTGCAACGTCAGATCACTAAGAGCCCTAAAAGGACCGTGAAAATTGGTGGGCAACAATTGATGGTGAAATGGAAATAGCTGCTGCATCAGGTAGTAGTCAAACACTTATGCGCCGAATTTCAGTCGTGCATTCAACCTCTAGTGAGGAAAGGCAGAAAATTCATCGCACGCCATTCGGCATTTGCTTTACACCTTCCAAATGCATAGTGATGCTGCATCACTGGGTGTCGTGTATTCCTCCCATGCACTAAATAGTCAGGAATGAGTTGTAAGGGACTGATTTTGCCACTTAAGTCGCAACGGAAATAGCCGTCCCCATTTCCAAGGCTCGAGGTGCGTACGCCGGACTGAACCATTTTTAGAATGAATACGGCATTTCACTGAAGTTGAAGGGCCGTGTATTTTGTACTACTGTGCCTTTCAGTTCTGCTGTGGGAACTTGAATTTGCGAGTAGATATCCATCGACTGGAAGTTTTCGAGTATCGGTGTTGACGTAGTTTAGCCCATGTGGGATGAAATGAACGTATTAGTAATCTGAAGGTAAGCCTTCGTGTGTTGATCAATTTATCAGGGATAGACATTCTAGCTCATCGAATTCAGATTAGTACACTTCGCTGGCTAAGACACATGTTGCGTATACCCACCTGGGGTTTGTCGCATCGTTTTCATTTGCTGTAGCCGTTCCGGGTCAGAGGACACCATGTGAAGGTTAACAAGTAACGCGAAGACGAGGCTTTACGAAATCCCTGATGCGATTAGGTTTCTCGCGACTTCCAGGTGGTGATCTGAGAAACTGCAACTGGTTGGTATGATTGGTTTGTTTAAGTGGATAAATATGTGACGTTGAATTTCTTGATCAAATTAAGCTTACCAGGTAACTATTCTTTATTACTGCCCAAATTCCTTGGATATATTTATTGCTAATACAAACAAACTATCTTAGTTCGTTTCATTTCGAAGAAGCCGGGAAACGGAGGTACGTTCCTGGAACCAGTGAAATACCTTTGTTTTCTCGCTCACTATTTTGATACTATGCATACCAGTAGGTTCATTCGTTCGATTGTCTGATCCGGTTCTCCGGTTACTTTATTTACGATTTGCTGACTGCAAATTGTCACAGAAGAATTTGAATAAACTCTTTACATTCTTCCTTCGAACAGCTCCGCCTAGTTTCGATCCAACCCACGGTGTTTTGCTCACCATAAGGCCTTCAACACACTGTTTCTCAATTTTGTTACATTTAAGTGGCATCAATAGTCCTAATTCCACTTAATGAGCATTATACAATAGTACTCTTACTTCTCTCCCTCTCTCTATCACGCACAGAAGTGTCATTTTTTCGTCTACTTGAATCACACCGATCTGACGGAGGCCATTTTTTCGAACGTTGGGATTCCGGCTGACGCATGCGTTACCTTGTGGGACAAACTGGCAAAAGCGAATGCGGAGATCTCTCTCAACGCGCAGTCCACAACCGCGTATCACTTTTATGCGGACTCCACTACAGCCGGTGTCCGAACTCGTAGCATTCCGGTGGTTCGGCATTTGGCACTTCCGGCCGTCTTATCCGCCTCGGGATATACACGCGCCTTACCGTTACAACATCGGCTTATCAGTTTGCTTCGTTTGGATGTTGGCGACCAGGTGGATAAGTTACGCGATGCAATCTTGCAATGCGCTCCACGCACCCAGGCTCTTATCGCCCGACGTGTGAATGAGGCGATCGAGCAATTACGAAGTGTTTTAGATATCTATAAGAAGTTGGGCGAATCAGATCGATTCAACGTGAGTGACATGAATGACATGCCGTGTCCTGGTTATTCTTCTTCCAGACCACCTATCATATTTGACGTGTTTCCGAGTCTTGTCCGATTGCTTTTCACGTGCACCATGTGTGCTAGTTTTTGTACACTCTGTTTTTTCCTCACGCGGTTTTCAGGACCGTCAAGTCCACTGTGACTGATGTGATCTATAGCACTGGCCAGGCTCTTTCTCTGATTATCCATGACCTGCCTTGTCAAGGATCGTTCGTTAAGCAGGCCTGGCCGTTAATCCAAATCATCGAGGTCCATTGAGGTCAACTACTCGTTTCCTTACGAAACCGATGACAATCTGCGAATAACCTCGGCGTTACCTGTCCGGTTGCACCAGCATTACTGTGCCGTGCGGCGTGGACAGCTATGTTTAAGCACCGCGATTCTGTCTATTACTTCGTCCGTAGCGGTCTGTTGACACACTGCAATTTACTATTACACTTGATTGCATCAGACTCGAACGTAAAGACGATGTTG